TTGCAGACTCTCTCTGCTGCTTTTAGCCAACTTCAAGGCTGAGTTAAGACAAGGAAGATAATAAGATAAGAAAGGGAGAAAAACTGGGTTGTCTGCCTGGCTGTGTTTGTGTCTTATGCATGGAAAATGGTCTCAATTCGAGGTAAAGTTAAGAGGAGAACCCACCTTTGGGCTCCAGGTACTCTCTGTCTCATGCGCATAACCAGCCTGGATCCAAGCCACTGGCCAAGTGCAGCCCTCTGTGCACACATAATATTGACAGTTTTATCTAGTTTGAATCTGTGTGTAATGCATTACCCTTAAGTGCTTTACAAATTGCAGTTCATTTACATCTCATCAGACTGTGAGGAAGGAGGAACCCTTCGTTCTCATCCCCATGTTACCAAAAAAGAAAATGAAGCACAGAGAGGCCTAGTAATGGGACCGAAGTCACACAGTTACTCGGTGGCAAAGCTGGGCTTTGAACTCACAGCACGTGGTGTTCTCTGCTGTTCTGTGCAATTCCAGCCTTCAGGAGCGTTAGGCCCCAGGCACACCACTTTGCTGTTCTATAAAAATGGGCTCCGTGCACACATTGTCTTTATTCCATTGGTCATCAGTGAGTTACGCTTCTCCACTAAATAAATAAGCCTCATTTCTTTCCCAGAAGCACCCACTGTAAGGCTGCTCCCAAGCACAGCAGTTCATTCATACATGAAAGCCATCAAGGAAAGGGATTAGCCCTTTAAGCTTTATGGTGGTTACTCGTGGCATCTGGGCTAAACCCTGGCTGCCTCCTGGCTCTGCATTTCGACCACCTTCACACTCTTAAAAGAAAGGAAGAGGAGGCCCTCAAAAAACAAGAGCCAAGCCAATGACAGGTTGTTTCTTTTCTTTCTTTGTTGCTTTCTTCCTTTCTGCTTGTTTTGTTTTATTGTGAGACAGGGTCTTACTGTACAGTTCAGGCTGGCTTTAAACTCGCTGTGTAGCCCAGGCTGGCCTCAGACTTGCAGTGATCCTCTTGCCTCAGCCTCCCAAGTGCTGGGTTTACAACTATACACCATCAAACCGAGCATGTTATTCCTTTATAAAAATATTTGGATGTTTAATATCTGAATATGTGACATAGTCCCATGGTCCTGGTGGAAAATCCCCTGGTCAGCTCCTGTGCCCCATGGCTCTTCCTCAGAGGTTACCCAAGTCAAAAGCTGCTTATATATCTTAAGTATCCTTCTGTTTTATGGTCCTTCACTGCCCAGTGGGACTTTTTACATTGGTAGCAATGTCACAGATGCTGCCCAGCACCGTAGCTGTGGGGCTTCTGTTCACTTTGAAATGTAGCTAGTCTGACTGAGGAACTGGATGCTTAAACCTTAAGTAATTGAAATTTAGATAGCCCCGTGGGACTGGTGGAATCTGCATTGGGCAGCACAGTGCTGTTGTGTGTGTGCAGGTAAGTTTGTACTTCTGCGTTTTAACCTTATTTCCTTTACCTCACAACCGCCCCCGTTACTCAGGAGGGTAATATATTCTGCACTGTCTTGCGTCTTGCTTTTTAAGTCCAGGGGTGCCAGATGTCAATGCTTTTCAGTCTTCCTCTGTGTCCAGTCAGATGCCCCTAAGACAACTCCTGCTGCTCCTGGCTCGGGGATAAAGGTGGGGTATAGAGGGCTGCGGCCTGGTATTAGTCAGCAAGATGCACCTAGCGCCTGTGTGGAGTTTAAGATCCCACCTTCCTCGCCTTTACATGGGCCTGGTGTCCCCGAGGGCAGCACCTCCTTCTGCAGAATGAACCTCCAGCCTTGGTCTTGAAAAGGAGGCCGTGTCAGCTTCACGGTACTGTAACAAAATACCTGATGCCATTATAAGGGAAATGCAGCCCCCAGTCCCAGAGGTTCCAGCTCAGGAGCAAGCAGCTCCATTGCTTTGGGCCACTGGAAAGAGTGGCGCATCCTGGCAGGAGCGCATGGTGAGGCAAACTCCGCACCACACGAGGTAGATAGCGAAGAGAGAGACCTTGGGGACAGGCAAGTCCCCGTCTCTCAAGGACATAGCATAGCGACCTAAGGACCCTCCACTAGACACCTCCGTAAAGTTCTCCCACCCTTCCTGTTAGTGCCACCTGGAAGCTAGCCTTCAACACAGGGCACTCTGGGGGATGCTACTGGCATTCAAGCTATAGCTGGATGGCTTTGGGAAGCTGAGAACCTGGCACTTCCTGAGCTGGAGTGGCTTTCTTGGTCTTGGAAGGGGTCAGACAGGAAGAGAACACCTAAGAGCCACAGAGCACAGCCTGTAGGCAAGATTGGGTGGTTGCTTCACTCAGGGAGATGCACCGAGAGCCCCGTTATTTCCCATCACCTCACCTGTGGGCTTCTAGGAGCCAGCCAGCAGGTGGGCTCTGGGCAGAGCCTCGCACAGCCGGGCACCCTTCTCTGGTGTATGCTCTGCCTTCTGGGAAAGTCAGTCATTGATCTGAGCGTGCTTCTAAGAATACTGAACGGCCAACCATTGCAGTCACGTTGAAAGGCAACTAGATCATCTAAATGTTCAGAGCACCCACCCTATGACCCACAACTCTATTGCTGGTCATTTCTCCTGCAAATGACAGTCACACAGCTCTGGGATGACACATATGAAGTTAATCACTATGATTCATGAAAGCAAAAGATTAGAAATAGCCAAAACTCACCAGTGGATAGTGGGATAATGGTTATACAATTTGGAGCATCTCCATTCATGGAATATTATGAAGTGCTGAAAACTAAAACAAGTCTAAGAACAAATCTGGAAAGGTCTTTCAGATTCATTTTTTAAGTTAAAGCAAGTTGTAAAACAGTGTAAATAATATGCTGCATTGCTCATGAATTGGTGTAAATAAGAATTACAGATGTGCTTGCATATATTTACAAGAAGAAAGTAGAATACCAAAAGGCCAGGCATAGTGACATACGTCTGTAGGCCCTACACTTGGAAGGCTGAGGCAGGAGGACTTCTGAGTGTATGAGACCACCCTAAACTACCTAATGAGACCCTGTGTCAAAAAAAAAAAATACTAAGAAGTGTAGGTGAGGTTAAGAATAATGAATGGAAACAGGAGGGTTGGTATAAAGAGATGGGAGTAAGACACTTACTATAGTTTTACATTATTTCACCATGTAAACTTTTGGATCATAATGAACTTTTTTACACATTCAAATAATTTTTTTAAAAGTTTAAAAATGAACCATGGCTCCCAGTGTACTGCACTTAACTGATGTCTCTCTTGACGGGGAAAATTAGGTGAGTGATGTCAGACAGGATGCTCTGGGGCTTGCGGCAGTAAGGCCAGCCCTCAGCTCTCAGTGCCTTAACTCAATTACTTCCTGCTCATGCACATAGCTACCATGAAAGGACCTGGGAAGTACTGCGCATCCATGGTGTGGAAATACACGAGGACAGGCGTCTGTCCCAAATAAAATTACCATGTCTGTCAGGGGAAATGAGTCCTAAGGTCACTTCTCGTTTCATTGTTCCAATCTAGTCACACTACCCTATATAAGTACAGTGCCCAGCACTGGGGGAACACAAAAATGATGGTCAGAGGAGCAAAGACATTACAAGAAGTGTCTTGGCCCAGGTCCTCTCAAAGCCCTGTTGGGATATGAGGTCCACATCATGTGTGGTAGCTGACTCCTATAGTCCCAACACTCAGAAGTCTAAGGCGCAAGGATCAGCTTGAGTTTGAGGCCAACCTGGGTTACATAGTGAGTTCAAAGCTTGCCTGAACTACATAGAAAAAAACCTATCTAAAAAACACCAAAAAGTCCTGCCATGCAGCCCTGCCCCCAGGGTGCACTCAGCTGAGACTGGGCCCATAATCCCAGCTCTCAGGAGGCTGAAACCAGGAGGATCACTATGAGTCTGATCTGTACAGTGAAACTCTATAGACCCTGTACTAAATATATTTTTTAAAAAAAATCAAAGATGTGGGGTTCAACTTTCCACCACTGTGTAGACACTGGGCTTCCTGCATCTCAGTTTTGAGCTTATCTTTTTTTTTTTTTTTAATAGTTATTTTCTTGTTCATCTTTTGGGGTTTTTTTGTTTGTTTGTTTATGCAGTACTGGGGATTGAACTCATTGAATTTCTCTGTCTCTCCACAGGAGTATTCTCAGTATTGTATAGCCTATTTTCACATCTTTGGGATGATACAGCAATAGCTGGCAACTTGATTTTATTTTTGTGTGTGCTAAAAGCTTTATACACATTCCAGTTGTGCCACTTATTGTTGGTAGAGCATTGAACAAGTTGTGAACAGGCTCTGCAGTTCTCTGGACATCAGTTTGTTTATCTGCAAAATGGGTATAATAATAGATAAAGATAACTGTATGAGGGGTGCCTAGAAAGTAGGAAGCCCTGTTTATATTAGCTACTTAACTATTGTTTTGTTACCAGAATATTTTCTCGTCAGAATAGAGTAGAGAATAATATCGTCTGGCTCACAGAAGGCAGGAAGGATGTTCTCACTCGTGAGAAGAGGTGTAAATAATACCTCTTCTATTTCCCAATAGTGAGTATGGTTGCTGCTGGTGCTAGCATTTGGAGAATCTGCCTTCCGCAGTAGACGCATTTGCCTGCCACCAGCTCACTTGTCCAGAGACGACACCTGCACTCATTTGGTTCCTCACACTGCTCCTCCCTGGGCTTCTCCATCTCCTCAAATGCACCCCCATACAGTGTGTGGCTCAAGCCAGAAGCCTCTGAGTGGGGCTGTGTAGTGATTAGAAGGCTATGGGGTGAGGCAATCAGGAACAGGAGCCCAGCATGACTGAGGCCATGGTGGACAAGACAAGGCAAGATCCAAGGTCCTGGTTTTCCTTCTTGGTCAGCTTTGCCTCACCATAACCAAGTACCTGGTACAAACTCCTTGGGAAGACAAGAGAGGTTTATCTTGGCTTGTGGTTCTGGAGGGTCGAGTCTGAGAGTAGGCAGGCCCAGTGGTTTGGGCCTCTGTTGGGGTCGCACGTGATGGAAGAGATGCATGTCAAAGGAAGTGTTCCTGTTTGCAGCCAGGGAGGGGAGTAGAAGAGTCAGAAATGTAATACCAAGGACCCAGTGGCTTAAAGACTTCTCTCTAGGCACTACCTTGTAAAGGTCCACAGAACCTCCCTATACTACCACCCCGGGAATAAGTCTTTATTAGGTAGGATCCATCCCTGTGGTGTAGACTCTTGGTTTTACTTGGGGTTGGTTGGATTTTTTTTTTTTTTTTTTTTTTTTTTTCTCTGAATGCCTTCAGGGAGGTTTGGCTGGCTTGAGTTGTGGGGATTGAACCGCAGCAACCTGAGCCTGACTGCTTTGTTGAAGCAGCCACTTAAAGAACTGAGCTAAGGGGCAGGCCCCCTTGGGGTTGGTTGGGAAGTCTGGGGAAAGGTGTCCAGCAGGACAGTGGGTGACCTGATGGCAGTAGCATCATGGAACTGAAGGGAGAAATGGAAGATGCTGGAAGCCCAGTTAGTAGATGGCCATGATTATCTAGGTGCAGGAAGGTGGTGGCTCCACCAGGCAGGTGGTCAGGGGGATGAAGAGAAGTGGTCAGAATCTGGACACATTTTGAAGTACGTTCCTAGGACTGAGAGGTGGAGTTTTGTGCAGGGTGGGCAAAGAGGAAAACCAGGTATCAGCCCTGAGTGTTGAGGCCTGAGCTGGAGTGAGTGGGGGAGCCATGGGCCAATATGGGCTGAGCAACAAGGAGCAGGTTGCAGGGTGGGTCTGTGAGACTCAGATGTCACTTTGGGGCCTCTTGCCTGGAGGGACAGATAAGCCATTCAGAGGCTCAAAGTGCTATAGGTACTGTTGAACAGGTGCCTGCGGTTGAACATGTGGAGCCTAGAAATGCACAGTGGCGAGTTACCTAACTTTGAGAGGATAAGGGCCAGGTGGTCACTTTGGGAGAGCATGAGACGGGGAAGAGGAGAGGAGAGAGCCCAGCAACGTTCACAGGTAGGCACAGGAGAAGGGAAAGCAAAGGAGATGCCTGTGAGGAAGGAGGAGAAACAGGAGTTTTCAAGTGACCGTGGCTAGGAGAAACCTGAGGACATTCCAGATCACTGTAGTGATAGTGCTGGGAGCTCAAACATGTTTATAATAACTGGGATTTAACGCATGTCTGGCCTTATTAGAAGCATTAGACATGAGTAATCTCCTATTAGCCACGCCAGGACCCTGTTCTATCAGTGCACCCATTTTGCCAGACAAAGAAACTCAGACTCATGGAGAGGACGTCACCTACCTGAGGCCCCACAATGAAAGGCAGATCTGAAATTCAAAAGCAAAGTCTGTCCCCTCAATCTCCATTCTCAAGGTGAGAGAGTGTTGGCTGTTGCCATACACTCTCTCATTAGTTCACTCACTCACTGTGGGATGTTTTGAGCTACTCAAACATGGTCATGGCTAGGTACTACACAAAGCATCAGACATGCAAAGGGAAAGGACCCCCCAGCCTTAGGGGACTTGTAGCTTGGAGGAGACCAATAGGCAGTGGGCAGATTGACAAGTAAAGGTACAGCATGCCGGACAGTAGGAAGTGCTTTGTCCATTGGGAGCAACTAAGAGGTGGGATGCTTGCCTCGCTGAGATAACACAATAAAATCTTTAGCACAGGTAGGTGGTTTTTGAGCAGAGGTAATTACAATAACAACAGTGAGGTCTTGGAGAACACTTCTGGCTTGCTGACTGGGTAGTGTTCCATATGGCATAGTGCGTTTCGTCCTTCCAGTCACAGAGGGACTCCCATTGTTATCACTGTACAGGTGACAGCCAGCTGGGCAGTCTGTCCTCAGAAGCTTTGTTTTTAACAGCTACCCTGTCTCTCAGTGCTAGAAGAAAGGAATGTTCCATTTCTGGGAGGAGAAATGGCAGAACGTAGGGGTTATGGAGGAAACAGGCACTGAAGAGAGAAATCAATCAGGAGAGGAGATGCGACTTAAATCTGGACACGTGGCCTCAGCAGTCTCTGTACCACTAGACCAGTGGTCCATAGGGCCATGGGAACCTGGGTGGGGGTAGGGGTCTTCTCAGAACGCAGATTGCTGGGTCCTGCTCCCGAGTTTTTACCAGATCTAGGAGGGACCCTAGAATGTCTGTCCATCATGTGCCCTGTGGCTGATGCTGGCACAGCAGCATCAGGGTTCAGCACGTGAAGGAATGAATGCCCACTTCCCAGCAGGAAAGACTGAGGCTCAGAGAAGCTAGAAATTATTTTTGTGTAAATATCACACTGGTATTAAGTTGTGGTGCCTTATCTCAAAGCCAGGCAGTGGGGCGTCAGAGTCTTTTGACTTTTTCAACCCTGCCCATCCTCCACCCCGCACTGCCTCCTGCTGGTCAGAAGAATAAATGCGGATACACTTGGGATTGGATTCAGGTTTCCCCAGAGCTGGAACACCAGCAGGGCAAGGTCTCAGGTGTCCCCTAAACTTACTTACTTACTTACTTACTTTCTTTCTTTCTTTCTTTCTTTCTTTATTCTTTAAAAAAAAAAAAAAAAAAAAAACTTTCTTTCTCTTCCTGCCGCCCACGCTCGCAGGTGAAGCTGGTGTTTGTGGAGGACCAGGCGATGGTAGAGACTGTGTTCTTCCTGACATCTCGCACCAGGGCACTGCTGCGGCGCTTCCCACGCATCCTCCTGGTGGACCGGCTGCCAGCGCTGCAGGGTGTGCTAGACCTGCTGGCAGTGTTGTGCGTGGATGGCGCGGGCCGTGCGCGCCAGGCCGCCTGTTGCGTGGCACGCCCCGGGACTCCAAGCCTCCTGCGCTTCATGCTGGTCTCTCTGCTGCAGAGCGCACCCGACGTCAAAGGCCGCGTGCGCTGCCTCACTGCTGGGCCCGAAGTGGCGGCGCAGCTGCGGGTTGTGCGCCAATTGTTGCCTTGCGCACGCGTGCAGATCTGCCGAGCACAGGGCCTGGAGACACTGTTCAGCAAGGCACAGGAGCTGGGCGGTGCCAGCCGTGAGGACCCAGGCCTATGGCCACTCCTATGCCGCCTGGCAGGTGCTTCATCCTATGCAGCCTATGCTGAGGCGCTGACTGAGCTGCGTGCCCAGGCCCCAGACGACTTCGTCAAGTACTTTGACCACAACTGGGCGCCCCGACATGACATGTGGGTACGTTTCCGTGCCTATGAGGCATCCCGAGACCTGGACGCCTGCGCCCTGGTGCGTGGTCACCGCAGGCGACTGCTGAGCCACCTCAGCCCTTCACACAGTGTGGCACAGTGCCTTCGTGACCTGGTGGCCATGCAGTGGGCCGACGCAGCTGGGGAGGCAGCCTCTGAGGGTGCTGATGGCCGAGGGGTGTGGCTAGAGAGCCAGCTCAGGGGTGGAGCCCAGGGGGAGGGGGCCACGGGCCTGGAGACCAGTGACAAGAGAGTGGTCCAGCCAGAAAGGGAGAAGGAAAGGGGTTTGCAAAAGAGAGATTGGCCAGGGGTCCATTTGGAGAACCAGAAGGGGTGGGTGCTGGAAGGGAGTGTCTGGAGAGGGGCTCAGGTGGGGAGAGAGCCCTTGAGAGGACCAGAGGTCAGAGACTGGAGGGGACCCCACTTGGAGGATGGAAGCTTTAGGGTGCTGGAGATCACAGACCCAAGGGGAACCCAGCTTAAATCAGACAGAAGTGGGTCTTTGGAAGGAAATCTCTGGAGAGGGTTCCAGCTACAGGAGGAAAGGGCAAGTATATTGAAATCCCGAGACTGGAAGAGACCCAGATTGGAAACGGAGAAGGGGAGAGGCGTAGCTGTCAGAAACTGGCGAGAGATCCATTTGGAGAAGCCTTTGGAGTTGGTTCCTGAGAATGGAGACCAAAGGGTGGCTCAGTGGACAGATGAGGGGCGGAGAGGGCCTGATATTACAGAGGCGAGAGGAGGGCATTTGGGGGTCAAAAGGAGACGGGGCCTGGAGGACCTAGTTGTAGTCGAGCTGGGAGATGCCAGGGTCACAGGCATGGCAAATGGAGATGGAGGCAGAGCCCAGCCTATGGGCTCCAAGAGCAGAGCCGGACATGGGATGGAGTGGGGGGACATGGGAAGAAGGTATCCAGGGCTAGGGAATGGAGTGCAGTGTGCCACCCCCAGGGGGCCTGTGTTGGAAGGCAGTCCCGAGTGGGCAGTGGTGAGCAGTGGCCCCCTGGCTGCAGGGGAGACCCTGCAGGATGGAGGTGAAGGAGAAGGCCCAAGGGAACCAAAGAGGCTCTGCTGCCCCTCCAGAGAGGAAGGGATAGACTGGGAGCCACTGGCTAAATTCCGAGCTGCCTGTGGGCCGGAGCTAGCAGACCTGGTGGCTGAGGAGTTGGCCTTTGCGAGGCAGCATGGCACCCGGGGTTTCCACTGGACTGGAACTTGCTTTGCTCTTAAAGATGGCTCCTCAGACTTCTTCTTGGATGGGGCGCTGACGTACTGCAGCTGCTCGATCCATGCTGCCCGTCGCTTGCCCTGCCGGCACCTCTTTGCAGCACGTCTCCTCACTGGGGCTGCCTTATTTCACATGGACCTGCTCAGGGATTGCTGGGGGAGAACCCAAGAGCCCTGACCCCTCCGGCTCCTGCCTGCCATCCTGTGTGGAGAACAGGCATTCTTTTATCCCAAAGATAACAGGGCTGAGCCGATGAGGCCACCCCTGTCCCTCTGGCCACCTCCCAGGTCATCCAGGGATTTTTTTTTTTTTTTTTTTTTTTTTTATCTTGGCAGATTGTCTCTCTGGCTTAAGAGAAAACTGTTAAGTGTTCTCTGAGGTCCTGGAGCCACAGCTGTAGAAAATGCTGGTGGTCGGGTTGGGCTCAGAGGACCACCCTCAGGACAAGAATGTGTGCGGAGAGGTGTAGACAGGGTCAGGCCGAGGCAGAAGACAAAAAAGGGCAGAACTGGGGAACGGGAGGACACTAGGAGGCAGGGAGACTGACAGGAGTAGACTGGTCATCATAGGGATTGGAGGGCCAAAGGTGAAAAGCAAAGGAGAAAAGATAGAATAAAAAGACACAAAGAACTGAGGGGAACTAAGGCATAAGGGGGGGAAATGAAGGGGGAAGGACAAGAGAAGAGGCAAAAATGGAGAAATGAGAAAAATATGGCAAGGTGGGATGGGAGGGTAAGCAAAAGAGGAGAAGAAATTTTAAAATGAGACAAGACAGAAGAATGATAAGGGACATGGAGAGAAAAAGCAAGGAGGGAGTGGTTGGGGTATTTCTCCATGACCTTGACACTGGGCTTCCCTGAGCCTTCTAGTTTTTTCATTGCGAAGTGAGAGCTGGCACTGGGAGTCTGGAAGGATGAGTGGGAAACTCCCCTGGGGAAGGAACTGTATGAATTGTTGTGCTTCAAGACTGGAATAAAACAGTATTATTTTGGTTTCCATGCTGAGTTCATGGCTTCTGGGGGAGCATGGGAGGCTTGGATGCAGAAGAAAATGGAGATACTCCAGTATCATTTCTGATTCTACCTCAAAGTCGGTCATGCTGGTTTTCCTTGCTGATGATTGGTTGAGAGTGGTCTGGCCAGTGAATCTGCTCCAGTATGGGTGAGATGTTCTCAAAAAGATTCCCTCACTCCTAAGAAGTCCCAGAGTGAGACAAATCTACACCTGCTCCAAACCACTTTGGGCCAAAGTGAGAATAAAGGTGATATTGACAAGGCCTGAACTAAGACAAAAAAAATCTGCATTGTTGTTTGGCTTTGAGGAGTCGGAAATCTGCTGTACCTTGGGGCTCAGAAATAAAGGATGTATCCTAATGACTTTACAGAAATTTGGGTTGGGGTTTCTGCTGTCACAATTGATGAAGGGGATTTTATTGTAGTTTACAAAGTTCATTGTGAGGTAACGCAGGACTTCTCAAACTTTAATGTGAACGCGGAAGCCACATTAGGGCTGGGGTACAGATTTAGATTCAGTAGTCCAGGATGGGACTTGAAATTCTAACAAGATCTCTGATACAATTGATGAACACTGTAGTGCCTATAATCACTTTGAAAGCAGTAAAAGACTTTTAACATAATCCAGTAGCTCATGAGAAATGAAAGGCTTCTACCATATAGGAATGCAAGGGATCCAACAATGTCAAATCCCTCCTCTCATTTCTCCTGGTCTTTATGTGATGGATTCCTTCCAAAGAAAGCCTTCTGTTTTGACTGAGAAACAATACTTTAGGAGCCCTGGCCTCATATGGTTATATCTTGGTCAAAAAAGACCTTTCTGTAAATCTGTAAAAGACCTTTGAGTAAATGTCAAAGAAAAGAACTGATGGGACTTAGGGTATCAGTTATTTATTATTACATTACTGCTGTGTTAACAAAAATAACATTTTAGAAGTATGTATTACCTGTTGTAACCCAAAACTCAAAAACCAGACTCAACTTAAAAGCGCTTTATTTAGCTGAGCTCAGCGGCGGCCCGTACTCTCCTCTCCAAGGATGTGCATGCCAAGGTGGGGAGAGACAAGGGTTTTTAAAGCTGAAAACCACAAAGGGGGAGGTCTTGTGACTTGAGCATGAGGGAATACGGCACAGGGGTCAGCGTCCACTTATGGGAAACAGGTTACATTCTTTTAACATGCCATTGCAATTTTCAGGAACAAATAATTTTTATGACATGGTGTTGATCACAGGATGTCACAAAAAGATGTGGAGATAATTTTGGGAATGGGGAGTGATCCTTAGCACAGAGTTATTATCTTAGGATAGGGGGCTGATCACAGGAAACATTGTGTAGATTGCTTTTAACAATCTGACTCAGAACAAAGAAATATTTTGAACATTAACAAAACTGTGTTCAGAAGCCAGACGGACAGCTTGAGCCACAAAGATGAAGTCCAAGTTGTCAGCTTATGCCAAACAGGTCTCGATAACGAGGTCACAGTGGAAATGTACAGAGGTGTATAATAGAATAGCCATTCTGGTTATAAAATGGAGTCAATCACATAGGTTATAACAAAAACGCAGAGTCATATAACAAAATAGCTGATCTAGTTACAAAATGGAGACGGTTACATAGGTTATAAAATTACCGATGTATCTTTGGTTACCTGATGGATGGGGGTGGGGATGCGGGTGTGATGAGAACTTTGCTTTTCCAAGTGTGGTCCCAGGGGCAGCACCAGCAACATTCCTTGGGCCCAGGTATATGAGAAATCCAGAGTAGGAAGAGGTTGATGGTCAATAAACCAGACTAGGGCAGAGGCTTATTCTCAAAACTGGACCTTGTAGGACATGTTTGGCTGGAAAAAGGATGAAAAAGTACATTTTGTTATTTTTAAGGGGGGAGGTGTGTTACCAGGCAGGTGCTTATGACACTGAGCTATCTCCCTGGCAAGAACTGCATTATTTTTGTTTCTTTGTTTTGTTTTGTTTTGTTTTGTTGTTGTGGCCAGCTCAGCACGGCATGTGGTGCCCAGGGATCAAATCTCGGTCCCTGCGCTTCTGCCTAAGCTTGCCTACGCAGGCGCTTTAGACCGCTGAGCTATCCCGCCAGCCCAAGAACTGCATTTTTGCAGAGAAAATAATATGTGTAAAAGTAGTTTACCCTTGGGGAAGGAAAAAAAAAAAAAAAAAAGCTGAGGTTAATAATCCTTAAATCTGCCTACATGCTCAACTCACGAGTGAAATTCATTCTTTTAGTCTCCTCTGCTGAAACATTACCTCCTCCTAGAGACCATCCCTGGGGCGTTTAAGACTCCATCCCCTTACTCCGCTGGATTTTGCACAACGTTTACTGCAAACAGTTGGTACCACTCAGCTCTACCAATATAGCATGGCGATTAAGCTTATCAAGTCTAAAGCCAGACTGCCTGGGTTCAAATCCTAGCTCCACCCCTGTGGCATTCAACTTCTCTATGTTACAGTTTGGGAACAATAATAGTACCTCTCTCCTAGGGCTTTTTGTCAGTAAACGGATTGGTGTGTGTGCCAGCGTTGTAACATTTCCTGCATTTCTGCTTTCCCAAAAGTGCCCCAATTGCCTATTTACCTTCTCCAGTGGCTTAGGTTCATATCATTAAGGGTATCTCTGCCACCACAAAGTTAAAAGCTCAAGTTGGTTCTCCATAGTACCCCCACTGCTGGTATAAAGTAAGCTCAGGGATAGAAATACCACTAGCTAGCCCGGGTCCTTCCTCGAGTAATAATGGAAATTACAACTGAAGCAATCACGCGTTTAGAGGAAAATAGCCTTAATTGAAAAGTAAGGAAAACTGAAAGTTAAGCACAGTTCTTAAGAACATCAAGCTGTTCTCGGAACAAAGGAAAGCAGAAGAAAATAGAGAGGCATCAGTTCGAGGGACTGAAGGGGACACAGCTCTGAGGAAGAGAATCGGACTGGCATGCCCACAAGTGAACCAGAATCGGTTTTGTGGAGTTCTGCAATTTTAATTTAATTTCCATTATTACTCCATTCTTTTTGCAGCTCCGATGGACTCCGTGGGGCATGAGAGGCAGTCTGGTTCTCAAGAGACGACTGCTCTTGCCATGCGGTGGGAGAAGCAGTCTCAGTTCTGATAGGGGGTAACCGCTCCTACAATGGGGGATGGGGGTGGCCTCCTCATGGCCTGGTCTGTGAAGTTCTGCTTTTCCTGGAATCACTATGACTTCAGGTTTAGGACAAGGTCCAGGATGACTGCAGGCCTAAGACTTTTTCTAGGCATCTCCCCAGGGGCTGTGGAACTGGTTGCTGTAAAGGCTGGCAACTGGATGTTCCCACAGATCCTGAATTTAGTCACTTTGGCCTTGCTGTCCTCAGTCTTGAACAGGATGGGATCGTCTAGGTAAATTTAGAGCTAATGAACTTTGTAATAGAAGCTCCTTATGTGATTAGTATATGCAGAGCCAAGCAGGGGTCTCAGTTTTGAAGAAATAAAGGAGAGAGAAAAATAAAAGTAAAGATACCAAGTTTATTTCCTGCTTTTGGGCATCTGCCTCTAGGCTCCTGTTACGGAAAGCTGAAGGAATAAAAATGGAAGAGTGGCTAAGAGGGCTCAGGTATCATCGTTCCTTTGGTGACAATGGAGACTGCTCTGAGAATTTTAGGTTCGACA